CCCCACTTACAGGATGTTAATCACATTTCACCTTGAAGCCATTACCTGTCAGGCCAGCTCACTAAATTTCTTGGCAGGTAGAATGCTGCTTATAACTCTGAGGCTAGTGTTTTGCATATGAAAGGCACTTGCTTGATAGCTTTTTTTTTTAAGGGTATAATTTTATTGTTTACAAAGTAGTTTGAAATCCTTCAGGTGAAAATGTAAACTGCTGTCATTAATCATTTCCTACTATGTCTTATCTCCCTGTGTATTAGATTGATAAATTTATTTTGTCTATTGCTATTTTGATCCCAGGTGATGTCCCTGAAAGCAAATATAATTAGGCACCTCCTTGGTTTTTATAATTTGTGATTTCTGTTCCAGCTCTAGAGAATATCATTTATGCTGACCTAAGCAGTATATATTTGGTTATATTTTATGATCTGCATTTTCAGAATGGTTTTATTAATTTTATATATTTACTTGAATATTCAGGCACCCTGTGTTGAGGTTGCGCTGCCTTTATTTCATCATGGGCCATTACTAAGCGCTCTTTACATGATGATGGCTAATCCCTTAAGGCTGAAGTTTGGGAGCTCATGTGTTTAAAGGAGGTCCAAGATCATGTACAATCCTCAGAGGGAAAATGGGATAATGGACCAATAATTGCTGCTGATTGCAAAAACAGATTTTCACCATTTCATGAGATAAAAGGGAGTGTTGTTTAATTGCTATGAATGTGTCCTATTCCTTTAGGAATTGGATTCAGATGATATTGCAGTATTACACCTGGGAATCTAAATATGGTTTTGTACTGATTGCTCATTATTATTTTTAGATCTCTGTAACCTCCTGTTTTAATGTGCTACTCTATGAATACTCTGATAATAGTGTGAAACACCATTAATTCCATTAATGTTACACCAGTATTCAAGAAAGGGGTCAGTACGTTTGGTCCACTTAAAATTTTACTTTAAAGAAAGGTTACATAGTTTGGTATGCATAAAAAGGAATTATTAAATAAAGTGAGAGATACTATGTTTATTTTAATGGTCTTTGCTTCTATTATTACATGCAACCTTAATAAAACAATGGTACAATCAATTGAAAGTGAACCTGGCAAATTAGCTTCTTCAACAAGAGAGATGTTAAACAGAAGCTTATTTTACAAACAGTGATACTATCTGATAGATAGCTGAGAACTGAATTTCTTTTCAAGAGATCTAAATTGTAATTCTTGCTTGAATCTTTAGTTATTGTTGAAACCTTCCTTAAATTTCTCCCTGTCTTATTTTCTCCATCTCTGACATTAGACACTTTATAGTTTCATTTTCAAGATGTTTGTGAAATCCTTTGAAGTAAAGCAAATACAAAAGGTAAATAGCATGAAGCAAACTATTCCTATGAACACTTATCAGCCAATACCAAAATAGCAAGCAATTCACTGGTAGCATGCATTCATATTTGAACAGTAAAGCAAACATTACACAAGAAGTTCACCACATTTTTGTTTCTGTTAGTAGCTATCAAGATACAAGTTCAAGTCATTTAATGTCTTCAGGTTTCCTGTTAATGGAATCACAGCTTTAGATTATTTTGATGGTAAAAACTTACATGAAAACCTACATGAACCTATATGTATGGTATTTGTGTATTTCAAATTCTGAAAGATGATGCTGTGAAAGTGCTGCACTCTATATGCCAGCAAATTTGGAAAATTCAGCAGTGGCCACTGGACTGGAAAAGGTCAGTTTTCATTCCAATCCCAAAGAAAGGCAATCCCAAATAACACTCAAACTACCACACAATTGCACTCATCTCACACACTAGTAAAGTAATACTCAAAATTCTCCAAGCCAGGCTTTAGCAATATGTGAACCATGAACTTCCAGATGTTCAAGCCGGTTTTAGGAAAGACAGAGGAACCAGAGATCAAACTGCCAACATCTGCTGGATCATCGAAAAAGCAAGAGAGTTCCAGAAAAACATCTATTTCTGCTTTATTGACTATGCCAAAGCCTTTGACTGTGTGGATCACAATAAAATTCTGAAAGAGNTGGAGAAGACTCTTGAGAATCCCTTTGACTGCAAGGAGATCCAACAAGTCCATCCTAAAGGAGATCAGTCCTGGGTGTTCATTGGAAGGACTGATGCTGAAGCTGAAACTCCAGTACTTTGGCCACCTGATGCGAAGAGTTGACTCATTGGAAAAGACCCTGATGCTGGGAGGGACTGGAGGCAGGAGGAGAAGGGGATGACAGAGGATGAGATGGCTGGATGGCATCACCGACTCAATGGACATGAGTTTGAGTAAACTCCAGGAGTTGGTGATGGACAGGGAGGCCTGGCGTGCTGCGATTCATGGGGTCGCAAAGAGTCGGACACGACTCAGTGAACTGAACTGAACTGATATGTGAGTAGGTTTTAATAAGAAATGAAAGCTGATAGTAAATAATTTAACTTGGTTACATCATTAGCTGAAAGAAACTTCTTAAATTTTGATTTCTATTTTTTGGCCACACCACTTGGTATGTGGGATCCTGCTCCCCCATTTGGGGTTCAAAACCATGTCCTTTTCACTGGAAACACAGTCTTAACCACTGGACGAAAGTGGTTAAGGAAAGTCCCGAAAGGATATTTCTTTGGAATGTCATCCTGTCATTGAAATAAACAGATAAAAATTTCTCTAAACAAACATCAGAGAAATTTTTGTTTTGGGGGGTACAGAACATATTCTGTTTAAGCACCTTATTTAAAACATTTGAAACAGGTAAGTTGGAGTCTTTTCTGAAAAGTCATTTACGCATTTTACATATGGTACTGGAACTTCTTCCACTGTGTAATTTCCTTTTAACAGAGATCATGGAATTAATTTTTTTTCTTGCAAATACTATTAAAGGTGAAATCCCAACACTGCTAATGTTCATGCATACTTCCAAAAGAAAATATCAGGACTTGGATAATTTATAGAAAACCAAACAATCCTCATTCATACTGTGTGTGAATAGAGTTAATTTTATGAAGAACTGAGTCCAAATAATATAAAATTTACATGTGAAATATCATTTTTTCCACATTGGAATCAGTTGCTTTATTTTGTTGATTTCACTTCTGACATCTAATTAGGTGAGGAAATGACCTTTGTTTATTCCTCTTTCATTCATCATAGGGGAGTGTGTGGAGCTGTGTGCCAAATTTCACTGACAGGAAAGGGGGAAATTGTTTAAAAACAACCCTGGGGCAGAAAAGTCAGACACTTGCAAGCCTGATTCTATTTGGTACTCAGATTAAATTCTCTCACATGAAACTCTGTACAAGGAGTTTTCTTGATAGCTTTCCTTCTACTGCTACTGCTCAAAGGAAGGAAACAAATATATAAATCTCACACCCAAGCTCTCAATAGAAAAAACGCTCCACCAACTCCATTTCATTTTTTTTCACCAAAGAAGCATGAGAGAAAACACTAAAATTCTGAGTGTTATACTCTTGTGGGTTGTTCCTTTTTTTAAAGCTTCATTTAAAAAACACCTTGCGAGAAAAATATTTCTAAGGTTGGATTTGAATAAAATCATTGAGAAAATTAACTGTATACTTGAAATGATGGAGGCTTTTGCTCTTAAAATCTTTTTCAGATTGGCTTAAAATACATACTTCTCAAGAGACAAGAACATTTCTCATTATAGCCTCCTTAGAGAAAACCATGGATTTAGACTGGTTTTTCACAGAGGAGAAAAGATCAATTAACTTGTAATCACTGAAGCAGCATAAGTTTTGGAAGTCTAAAGGAGGCACTCCTTTCCGTGTGTCAAAAAATTGATTCCTGGTTCTGAGTTGTAACAAAGGAACTCTTGATTTTTGTAGATGCCTGTGAGTCACGTAGAAATTGCCCATCCAAAGCAATCAGGCAGTGCACAGGTGAATTTGAAGAGTGGTCTCAGGAACTGAACACCAGTATCTTAATACATGACATTAAGACAAGGGGGATCATGTCACTTTGTTCAAGATAGCTAGTAAAATTTTAGTTATCATTTCAGCTTGTTTTATAAGTATTCTTTTTGAAAATTTTCACTGTATTATTCTAGAGATGATAATTTATTAAACGTATCCTTTTCTCAAAACTAACACAACATTGTAAATCAACTATATTTCAATAAAAAATAAATACACTTTAAAAGTATCCTTTTCTGTAATATTACCAAAACATATTCTATGTTTTAGAAAATGTGAATAACCCTCTATCCACAGAGCTTATATTTCTCTTTATTTTTCAACTCATTCATCAAAATCAGGTATGTGCTTATTTCTACACTGTTGTATGCAATAGTGCTGTGATTAAAATAACAATACCTCTCCTTAGCTTTTTTATACTATTTAATTTGACCAAAAAATCAACAGAATATTGTGTTCTATAATTAGAATTTTTAATGCCTTTGTAAATAGAGTTATGGATTTGGTATTTTAGCTTTTTAAAATTCCAGGGTGATTTGAACATAATTCTGCACAGATATGAGAAGATTGATGACTGGTCCATAAAATATAATATTAGTTCATTGAGGCAAATCACCCTTTTTTAGGAGATGAATCACTTTTATTTGTAAAAAATTCTAATTTAAAGGTATGCATTTTTAGATAAACACCTGTGGTGTGGTTTTGTTCTTATTATGCACTTTAATTCATCTTTAATTGGAAGATAATTGCTTTACAATGTTTGTTGGTTTCTGCTATATAACCGAGTGAATCAGTCATAAGTATACAAATGTCCCCTCCCTCTAGAACCTCCTGCCCACCTTTGACCCCCATCCCACCCCTCTAAGTTGTTACATGACAATGTGAATAAATCTTTTCTTCACATTCTTCATGTGAAGATTCGTGAAAGATTCTTCATAAAATTCTTCAAGACTGACGGCTGAAAAAACTTTGCAAGATTCAGTTTCATCAGAATCACCTATGGGTATAATATTTCATCACCATTCAATTTATCTTCCATCTGACTATATTGTTTTTAATTTATATTCTAGAAACCTGTAAGCTGCCCCTTGAACAAGTCCCACGTAATTTTGATGTTTGCACACTATGGTCATCTCCATTGGATTGCACTGTACAAGGTGGGGGCTACTACTTTTAGAGTCCTAGGATATGAATATTCTGAATTTTAAGATTTATGATTCATAAAAATACTTTAGAATATTTTCTCTGTCATCAAAAGGTGACATATATTAACTAGAATAGACTATGTCATAGATATCATCTTATCTCAAAAGAGGGATTCCCTGGTGGCTCAGATTGTAAAGAATCTACCTGTAATGTGGAAGACACGGATTCAATATCTGGGTCTGGAAGATCCCCTGGAGAAGGGAACAGCTACTCCAATATTCCTATCAGGAGAATTTCATGGATAGAGAAGCCTGGTGAGCTACATGGTCTGTGGGGTCTCAAAGAGTTGGACATGACTGAGCAAATAACACGCAAACATTTAGCATAAGAGAATGTTTTAAATTTATTTCCTTTCATGAGAAATCCAAAATTGTCTCTGAATTATGAATCAAATCAGAAGACTTCATAAAACCAATCAAGTAAATATAAATTGACTAGAATTGTTCATTAAGTATGAACCTTTAATACCTTTGTTCTCACTATTATTGCAGGCTATTTCTGTGGGGAAAAAAATAATTATTTAAGAAGAAATTTTATTTTTCATGGCTTCAAAAATAATGTTGACAAAATTAGGAAGCCGAACACAAAAATAATTAGTAATGCCATGTATCAGTTGTAATTTTTGAGCAAGAGTATTTGAGACTAATAAATTCTTGTCCAAATTATCTATCAATAATTTGGTTGATAATCAAATATTTGATAATCAAACCAATAATCAAATTAATATCAATATATTATTTATGGTCAAAGCACATTAAGGCAGGAGTCTTATAAAGTAATTTATGTAAATATAAAATTCAATTATCCAATCTCTTTCTTGAACATTCTCTATTATTGACATTTTCTGAATAGATTATTTTTTAAGAGATCTCAATTTTTGAGAGACTACCTTGCCATGCTAAGTCGCTTCAATCTTACCTCTTTGCTATCTCATGAACTGTAGCCTGTCAAGTTTCTCTGTCCATGGGATTCTCCAGACAAGAATACTGGAGTGGATTGCCATGCCTTCCTCCAGGGGATCTTCCTGACCAAGGGATTGAATCCACCTCTCCTGTGGCTCCCACATTGTTCAGTTTTTCAGTTGTGTCCAACTCTTTGTAACCCATGGACTGCAGCAAGCCGGGCTTCCCTGTTCATCACCAACTCCTGGAGTTCACTCAAACTCATGTCCATTGAGTCAGTGATGCCATCCAACCATCTCATCCTCTGTCGTCCCCTTCTCCCTTTCCCAGCCTTCAGTCTTTCCTAGAATCAGGGTCTTTTCAAATGAATCATTTCAAATCAGCTGGCCAAAGTAGTGGAGTTTCAGCTTCAGCATCAGTCCTTCCAATGAATATTCAGTACTGATTTCCTTTAGGATGGACTGGTTGGATCTCCTTGCAGGCCTCTCTCCTTGCAGACTCTCAAGAGTCTTCCCCAACACTACAGTTCAAAAGCATCAATTCTTTGGCACTCAGCTTTCTTTATAGTCCAACTCTCACGTCCATGCATGACCACTGGAAAAACCATAGCCTTGACTAGANAATTGCTGGGAGAAACGTCAACAACCTCGGATATGTAGATGACAGCACTCTAATGGCAGAAAGTGAAGAAGAACTAAAGAACTTCTTGATTAGGGTGAAAGAGGAGAATGAAAAAGCTGGCTTGAAACTCAACATTCAAAAACTGAGACCATGATGTGACCCTTCATGGCAAATAAAAGGGGAAAAAATGGGAGCAGTGACAGATTTTCTTTTGGGGGGACTCCAAAATCACTGTGGATGGTGACTATAGCCATGAAATTAGAAGACACTTGCTCCTTGAAAGAAAGCTCTGTCACAGTGTATTGAAAAGCAGAGGCATCACTTTGTCAACAAAGTTCTGTAGAGTCAAAGCTATTGTTTTTCCAGAAGTGAAAGTTGGACAATAAAAAAGTTTGCGCACTGAAGAAATGATGCTTTTGAATTGTGGGGCTAAAGAAGACTCTTGAGACTCTTGGACAGAAAAGTGATCAAACCAGTCAATCCTAAATGAAATTGACCCTGAATATTCATTGGAAGGACTGATGCTGAACCTGAAGCTCCATTACTTTGGCCAATCAATGCTAAGGGCTGACTCATTGGAAAAGACTCAGATGCTGGGGGAAATTGAAGGCAAAAGGAGAAGAGGGTGCCAGAGGATGAGATGTTTAGATAGCATCACCGACTCAATGGAGATGAATCTGAGCAAACTCTGGAAGACAGTGGGGGACAGAGTAGCCTGGTGTGCTGCAGTCCATGGGGTCAAAAAGAATTGGACATAACTTAGCAACTGAACAACAACAAAATGGACATGGGGGTGCATGTGTCTTTTCAAATTATGGTTTTCTTCTGGTATATGCTCATGAGTTCTTCCTGCAACAAAGTGTCCTTTTGCAAATAAACACACTTTGGTTTCAATAGCATGTAAATAAATATTTAGACCAACTATTAAATTAAAAGTTCAGTGATGACCTGGACTTTATGATTTCTTCCATGGTGATTTATGCATCATTATAGATTCACACTTAGGTAACTTTCATTTTATGTTGCTGCCAGAATGGAATTTTTATTTTATCGAAAACATTTTCCAATTGTTACAACCATTTTATATAAGGCTACCTATTTTACACTGATCTTGTAACCAGCAAAATTGTTGAAATTTAAGGTAAATTCAGTTTGTTTTTAATACTCTCCTAAATAACATTTTAGCCTTAACAATGGTAGTTTCACTTTTTCCCTTCCAATCGCAAATATTTTTATGACTTTTTGTTTTATTGTATAGGATAGTTCTTATTGTGTTTTTATGTTGATACTCCGCCAGAGTGGTCATCTTTGATTTATTCCTGACATTAAAATACATGCGCCAACTTTTTTTCTCATTAAGTAAAGTGTTGGCTGTAGAGTTTTAATGAATACACTTATCATTTTAAGAAAGTGCCTCAGTTTCCTCTTTTGTAACTTCTCTTAAATGTGTGTTGAATATTTCTAAGCCATTTCCCTACTGATCATTCAGGCTCCCCTGGTGGCTCAGATGGTAAAGCGTCTGCCTGCAATGTGGGAGACCTGGGTTTGATCCCTGGGTCAGGAAGATTCCTTGGATAAAGGAAATGACAACCCAGTGAGTACGCTTGCCTGGAAAATGCCATAGATGGAGGAACCTGGTAGGCGACAGTCCATGGGATCACAAAGATTTGGATACGACTGAGCAATTTCATTGGTTCATGGAGGTTTTATTATAATCATTTTCAGATTTTTTTCTATTTAATATGTTAACATATGAATTGCATTAATAGACTGCCAAATATAATAGCTACTTCTGCTTGCTTGGAATAAATTTTGACTTGCTTTATAACTTTTCTAATGCATTGCTGGATTTAGCTTCTTGAGTTTAATATTTCTTTCCTGAATACATGTGTACATAGGATATTATGATATGTGAACATTTTCTTCTTCTTAGAAAATTCTTGACTAGTGATCTTTTCTCTTTTATTACTTTTTCCCAAAGAAACAGTCACCGGAGGTTTGTATTGTTCTTACTGAACATTTTTGCATTGCTACCATTTTTTGCTTTCATTTCATTTCAGTTCAGTTCAGTCGCTCAGTCGTGTCCGACTCTTTGCGACCCCATGAATTGCAGCACGCCAG